GAATTTTCCCGGGGAACTGAAACACACTAACGGTACCTGCACGTGTCCAAAAAAACCCAAATTAGGCCCAGGGCCTCTTCGGCCCAAATCGCAATTCCGGCACGGCAGCTCCGCCGTGCTCCGGCGACGGCGCCGCCGCTGGCAGCGGCGAGTCGCCTCGGGTTGGCTGTTTTCGGCCGTTTCGGTCGAATTCGGCCACACTCGCATCGGTCCCTATGAGAAAACAACCCTAAGGCCCTCGGGGGGCCAAAAAATCACAGAAAAACGGAGCTTACCGGCGGCGGCGCTCTCGGGTGCGGCGGCTCTCCGGTGAGGTTCGTGTTTTGGTGATTCGGCTCCGGTCAACCTGTAGAGAAAAGAATGGTGATCACGGTGATATAAAAATTGCATCAAACGGAGGCCGGGAAGGGCCTCGTCGGAGGCAAAAACCGAGAGGGGGCGCGGCGGCGCCGCTGGTCTTCGGCCGCGTATTCCGGCCGTTTGGCCAGGATTTTGGCTTCGATTTGGCCATAGGAGGAATCAGCATGGAAAAACGAGTCGGGGGTATGAAATTTACCTCGATCGGCTGTCAGAAATTTCCCCGGTGCGGCGGCGGGTGGCGGCGGTCGGCCTCTGGTTCGTCTTCTCCGGCGAGCGGCAGGCGGCTAGGGTTTGTGGTCTGGTGTGGGGGTTCTATTTATAACCCCTTGCCCTTTAATCTCAGCCGTCCATTTTGTTTTAATCTGGGCCGTCCGTTTTTGATTAAATCTGGGCCGTCCGATCGCGCGATTGATCTGGGCCGTCCGATCGCGCCCACGCGGATCGCCAACGTGGCCCGTTCAGGAGCGACGTGGTCTTGCCACGTGGCAGGCCCCGGTTGGCCGGGACTGCTGACCGGGCCTGCTGACGTGGCTGCCGACGTGGCTTTTTTTTTTTTTTTTCTCTCCTCGGTCCGGGCGCTACAACTCTCCCCCCCATAAAGAAATTTGGTCCCCAAATTTGCCTCATTACTCTTGATCAAACAGATGGGGATATTGGGCCCTAAATTCTGATTTCAGTTCCCAAGTCGCCTCTTTAGGCGTGTGGTTCTGCCACATGACTTTTACAAATGATATTTCCCGGTTGCGGAGTATTCTGCTTTCTCGGTCCGTGATACTGACCGGTATTTCTTCATAAGACAAGTCATCTCGGAGTGGAAGCGGTTCGTGA